AGGTTCCAACATATGTGGTAAAGAGGGGTCTGGAAAGTAAAAGTTGACTTTCCTTTTGTGTGGTTTGCTTGAAAACGTATGGTTGGTTGTTGCCCCTTGCCGCCAGCGACGAGGAAAATCCACATATTCCCAAGTTGAAAGCTGTAGATAAAGTAGGCTCAGACCCGAAGAAAGGAGCAATCATGGATGGTCACAAATCGAAACATGTTGTGAGGTCACTCTGATTTGTTGGGATGCCATGTCAGAGAAGATTAGATTCCCCTTTCTTTGCAAATCCAAAGTAGCGTGATTCATGATTGCTCAGTGGGATTTGCAACCAGATCTGACAACACTCAAGCCCCCTTTTAGGTCCCTCAAAGGGTCCACTTCTCTGAGGTCATGACTTAAATTATTCAGAGGGGTCAAAGTCTTCTTACGCAAGGTGGCTGGTTGCAAATCCAGCCTGCCAGCCCCAAGCCGAGAAGTAGATAACCCCTGTTCCTGCCTACCACGAAAGGTCAATGTGTCCTTTTCTCCCTGGGAAAGCGCAACTGTCATTTGCTGCAGCGTGGGACAAATTCCTTGGAGAAACTTCTTCAAGCTCCGAGTTGGCTGCCTACCTGGCCACATGGCTCCGGCCCGCGAAAGGGTCAATCCCTTGACCTCAAACCGGGAAAATGTAAAGCCAAAAAGAGCAAAGGGGGCAAAACGGAAAGCCAACCTGGCCGAAACTAATGAACACCTCCCAACAAAAAAAAGTCTCGTTTCCTCGTTGCGCGGCTCAAAGTTTGATAACCTCAAGCCTCATGTCTAGTGGAGCCTCGGATTCCATGAGAGCCGATCGGCCTGGACGGTCTCCGCAGAGGCTGCCAGGAAGCTGATGGCGGCAGGCAGCAGCGCTGAAGTGCAGAGAATGGGAGAACCGAAACCATGTTGCCACGATTTGGATGTGGTTGTGCGCATGTGATATGTTTGTGTCTACATGTGTGGTGTATATGAGTACGTGTAATTGTGTAAATGTGTGTGTATGTGTGTACGTAAGTGTAAATATCATGCTGGAGCCCGATTCATAAAAGGGGCAAGAGCTGTTCATCGTTATCATAGTATAGTCATTAATAGTATTTTATTATTAGTACCATTGAGAAGTATTAATTGCCAATTACTATGATTTATTAACGGTTTTACTTAGTCATTAATTAATATTGCTACTCTTGTCATCATCATTACCATCAGAATTGTTATTATTGCTGTTACTGTCATTATTATTGTTATTCTTCTTGTTAGTACTGTTACAATCATTATTGGAGTTGGATGCAGTTGGAGCATGGTACCAGGCCAAACCGTCCCCCCTGGCGGAGTTTGGGGTTTTTAGGCGGCCCTAATGCGCTGCAGTCAAAGCACAAGAGAAACTCCATGCACAGCAAGGCAGGAACCGCGCGCGCGACGCAACGGGGCACCGCCACACACGGGAGCACAAGACCAGCGACCGCGGGGCGGCAGACCACAGCAAGGTAACATGCCTTGCGGTAGTGCGCGATGCGCGGGGGCACAGGGAATGCAAGCAAGCAGCAGTAAAGCAGCAAACCGGAGCAAACCGCAAACCGGGGCAGCGCGCCACTACCAGCGCCGATGCATCAAAATCCACCTGCGCGCACGCTGCCATCGAATGGCAGCAGATCCATTGCCACAACGTGGAGCAGCGACACCACCCACGGGTGCACAAGACCTATGCCAAGGAGGCCGTGCCACACCGTGGGGCGGACAAGGCCGTGTAGGAGGCTGTGCCACACTGCGGGGTGGCGAAACGCCGCACGCGGGGGCAGACGGCCTGCCCAGCAAAAAGACAGGGGCGCGATGGCACGCCACACCCAAGGGCGCTGTCGCCCCTGTGGTACGGTTAAGGGAGGGGAGGGGTGCTCATCGGTTTGGAAACCTTAGCGCCGCCCCTGGATTCCACACTCCCCTAGCAACCCCAAAACCTCCAAGAACCACAGGGCTCAGGGGCATTATTATTGTTATCATTGTTAAGATTATTATGTGCATTATTGCTGCTATTGTTATGATTATTATGATTATGATTATTGTGATTATACTGATTATTTTTGCTGTGAGTAGTAGTAGTAGTAGTAATAGTAGTAGTAGTAGTAGTAGTAGTAGTAGTAGTAGTAGTAGTAGTAGTACTAGTATTACTAGTAGTACTAGTCGTAGTAGTAGTAGTAGTGGTGGTGGTGGTGGTGGTGGTAGTAGTAGTAGTAGTAGTAGTAGTAGTAGTAGTAGTAGTAGTAGTAGTAGTAGTAGTAGTAGTAGTAGTAGTAGTATGATTGTGATTATGTTTACTGTTTTGCTTATGATTATTACCATTGTATTATCACTATCATTATGTTATTGCGATTAGTATTATCATCCTTATTATTGTTAGTAGTAGTAGTAGTCGTCATCGTGGTCTTCGTCGTCGTCGTCGTACTTGTATTATTATCATCATTGTTATGATTATGACAATTGTTGTAATTCTTATTGAGGATACCGTCTATACTCAATGACTGTCTTCAGGGGATGGGAATAAGGGATTGTTTCCACTGACTGGCCTGAATGGATTTTGAAGCCTGAAAGCTCCAGTTTGCGCTGAAATCGCACGGCCTGCCCGCAAAGACTGTCTGAAAGGCATTGTTTCAAGTTTCAAGCAAACCAAACGCAGCCAATAAAACGAAACCAAATTAAGAGCTTTTCCCACAAACAATTTTGAAGGCGAAGAGAAGGCTGAAAGGGTTTGAAAAATGTTGCCGAGAGGAAGCTGCAAAGGTCAAGTGAGCCAGGTAGAATTATTATTTCTATAAGTTTGAAAGCTTTGCGCCCAAAAACAACTTGTTCAGCAAGTGAAGGCAGCAATGGGAAGGCAAAGGCACCAATGGTATATAACCAAAGCCCATTGCCCCGAACAGTGGACCAACGTGAAACTAGCCATAGGGCTCCAGCTTGTTTTGACACATAACATGTGTGCATGGTTCGAGGTGTCAACAGAAAGCCCAAATCCCCCTTCATGGGTTGATGCCCACAGCAGCCACGCAGTAAGTTTCACTTGCTGGCTGAAGGTTCGTGCGCGTGGCTACAAGTGGCTAGGCACAGTTTGGGCAGCCCCTGCAACCTCCATGGGTTTTGCAAGCAAGCGCTTGGGCCATGAAAAGAGGTCCCTGGGGCTGAATCCCAACCACATGACGCGGCCACTCATGGTTCAGGGGTTCAAGCATCGTTCTTCTCTGACGACAACAAGCAACCAGTCAGCCTAGATTTTGGATTTCTGCAAAGAAGGATCTCTAGAAAAAGAATGCGAATGGACCCCCCCAACCCCAAAAAAATACTGCGAACCTCCCTGCCAAACATATATAATAACAACTACAAAAAAAGACACGACACTGCCCCAAGAGGCGGACTGGGAACCTCCCTACTCCAAACAAAACTACTCCCCCCCCAAAAAAACAATGAAAAAAAACAAAAACACCCGCCCCAAACTCCCAGGTCAAAACACCCCGGCACGTTTTGTCCCACGACGGACTCGATCCATCGATCCCCTTCGCTGCGAGTGGCCCACGTCCCCCGCGCAGTTGGCCGGGAGGTTGGGGGTTTGTTGCACCGAGGCCGCGCAGTCGGAGGCCGCGCGGGCCAAGAAGGCGGCCTAAAGCAAAGAGAAGCGCCAAGCGTAGGCCGCTTGGGTGAGAATCGGAGGGGGTCCACTGGTTTCGAGGGTTTGGTGCAAGAAATCGAGGAGCTTTTGCTTGGAAACGGATGGCATACACACGATCTGAGCCAGTGGAACCCGTCCGGCTTTTTAGCCACTCCCATTTACATACTCAACCAGGGCTTCAAATATCCAAACCAATTCAAACTACCAACTCGGGGGGACTTCTGGGATGGCTTATGTTGGGAAACAAAACCCCCGGGTTGGCTCGGTCACCAATCCAAACTGCCAACTAAGGACCCTGAAAGCACTCCAAGCCCCAAGATCGGTTCTCGGAGGGAAAGACACCGCAAAAGAAATATGAAATATCCAACTGGTGGTTTTTGGTGGGGCAGGTCCCCATTGGTCGTGCTGGTAATCATATAACCTCTCATATACCAAACGAGGCTTTTGGTTATGTATAAAAACAGGGGAAATCACAAAATCGTTAGTTGACTTTGGGTGTCCCTAAACACTCCCAAAAAACAATACCCTCAAGATTGCAAGTTGCCTGGGACCTGAAATCCAAGGCTTGACCTGTTTGAAGATATGTCAAGGTCGTCTCTTCAGGCTTCTTTTTCGTGGCTCGGTCATGGCGGTTTCTCCCCAAGGGGGGGGGGGGGAACCCGAAAAGTGTTTTTTGTTTCCCAGGTGTTCTGTTTAAACGGAACCACGCCAGGCGTTGGCCAAAACCCTGCAGTATGATGGCTCGAAGGCCAAAGGAAAAAATGCCCATGGGTGGTCCCCTTTTTTCTATTGTCGAAATGGGGAGAGGCCCCCAATCCAAATCTGTACTCCAAAGTGGGAGGCGGAAAAGAGGAATCGTGGACCATCTGGCACAACGATTGCGGATTGATTTCAACATCCTTCCCCCCAAGAACAAAAGGCATGTTTAGCCCCCCCTTTTCCAGCCACCCTGAAAAAAGAGAAAGGAAACGAACAAGAACAAAGAAAAACATACGAGACATACCCAATCCGAAAAAAAAAAAAAAAAAAAAAAAAAAAAAAAAAAAAAAAAAAAAAAAAAAAAAAAAAACTGGACAGAGTCCACCTTCCTTTTTCCTTTTTGGGGGACAACCACCAGAGACGCGGCGCTGTTTCCGAACCCGCCCGGGATTCTCCCTCCAGGCGGCGATGAAGCTCACCAGGGCCACGGAGGTCTCGATGCCGATGCGGCAGGCTGCGGAGGGTTTCGAGTTCGAAAGTCGTATCGAAAGTCGGAGGCTCCAGATCCGACTAAGCCGTTCTAACCCTTCAGAATAAGTGCACGTTGCCCTTGTTTCCAGTTTTTCCCCAAGTCGGACACGGAGGGGGTAATTGGGGGAGTGGGGGGGAGGTAGGGGGAGTGGGGTGAGTGGGGGGTGAGTGGGGTGAGTGGGGGTGAGTGGGGGGTGAGTGGGGGATGAGTGGGGTGAGTGGGGGATGAGTGGGGGATGAGTGGGGTGAGTGGGAGGTTTTGATGGTTTTTTCTCCGAGTCGGACACCGGGGAGGGGGTAGTTGGAGTGAAGGGTGAGTTGGGGGGTCTTCCAGTGGAGAGATTAGAAGAAGGGTACCAACTTCTTCCTGTCGTCTATTTTAGTAGGGGAACCCTCCCAACCCAAACAAGTTGGTTAGAAAGGGCACTCCCCAGGAACCCGCTGATTTGAATCGGGACTCGTTCCGAGCCAAGCCTTCGGGAACACGTGTTGCAACTGCGGAAACCATGGGCTTGCGCAAGCCCACGTCTGTGATACCAGGTAAATTCCCAATTTGTGTTCGTCCTCCAGGCAGAACTTCTGGTATCACGAAACTGATACTTTCCCTCAAGATGGGTTGGTTTCCATTTGGTTTGTCCTTGAACCATCCCAAAATCATAACACCCTCACAACCCTCACCGAGACCTAAGTTCTGGGTCCAATGGCCTGCACTCCCCCAAGACCTTACGAAACACCCATTTCCTGCGCCAGTGGGTAGGTGGTTTCATAGACGCTCATCCATCCCAGGTATGGGTGCTTCTTGACATTTTTGGCACGAAGTAGAATGCTTTGACATTGACCAAGACGAATTCCGGGAATTTATGGACCTTCGACGACCATAGGCCCGTACCCGCCCATACCCATACCCAGGAACTAGGAACACTCCCAGATGAACCCTGGAGGAACCCCCCAGATCCATCGGATTCGAGGAGTCTCTTGAAGCCCTTGGTGTCAGGCTGCCCTCAAAACAGAAGGCGGCAGGCCGGGCCCAAGTCTTCTTTGGCAGCTCCAGCCGCCAGTCCCCCCCCAGTCCGCCCCCACTCCCTCCCCTACTCCCCCCTCACTCCCCTCCCCCCGACTTGGGGAAAGAAAGCAGGGTTGAAGCACAAAAGCAGCCGCTAGAACGCGACCATCGGGCTGATGAGTTCTACCAATAGGGGCTAGAACGCGACCATCGGGCCATAGTGGTTGTATTCTGTACACCCTCCTTCCAACAATGAAAGTTGACAGGAGGCTTGGAAAACTACGTTCCTTTTGGGGAAGCCGCATGTCCACTTCCATGATTGTTGGAAAGAGGGTGCTCCATTTGTCCAACTTGCAAGCAAACAGATAAGACTTTTTCCGGTTGGACCTTATCCCAGCAAAAGGAACTCACTTGAAATGGTGCTAAGCTAGGTGACGCTTAGAACCAAACGGGAACTCTATATGTAATATAGCTAGCATGTGTATATATATATATATATCATAGTAGTATATATAGTGTGCATATATATGTATATGCATATCTCTCTCTCTCTCTTCATCGCCACAGGGAGTCTGCGTTGCGTCTTTGCTCCGCCTTGGGAATATATGCAAATATATACATATATACATATATATATATATATATATACACATATACATATATATAATGGTGTAGAGCATCATAGTATATGCATTATAGATTCCTTCGAACTCTGCGAAAAACCACGGAAAAATCGAAAACGAAAAGCCGCGGTTCGCCTTGATCCAAAAGGTCCAGGAGCTTCTGCCTCTGGTCCTCCCGAAACCTCACTGAGTGATGTGCACCCACGTCTGGGTTACCCCCACATGGCTATGGGTCAAAAATGCGTGCCCAAAATGGGTTGCCCTGGTAAATGGAACCAAAAACTAAAACCTGCGGTTGCCTGGTGGTTTTATTTTGACCCATACCCACATGAATCACAATCAAGACCTGGTGCATAATAATGGTGAACCCAAAACCATGTAAAGAGTTGCCAAGGCGGCCGCACCTAATTCTGGCTGGGATTGCCCCTTACTAACCTTCATCTACTCAGGTTTTGAGTGTGGCTCACATGATTCCATTGGTTTTTGGTTTTTACTCCCTAAGGAGCTAGCCCCCTTGCACTCACCCCGCGAATGGGATTCCACAAATTGGGCGAAACACCCTGAAATGGTGTTCGTTTTGGTCTCCCTTTGGTTTGCCCTCCCTCCAATGGAACAGGGAGGTTCCCCAAAAAGAAAGTAGCCTTCAATACCCTCCAAACATCGGCTGCCATGATTGGAGGGACAGCAACCCACTGTTTGGACAATGGTGGTTGCCTTTTCTCTCGTACCAAAAGTGGGGGCTTCTCCCCCATTTTGATAAACACCAAGGGTTAAAACCTGGGTCGTGTTCCACCAGATGCCTTCAATGGGTGTCACAGCTGTTCCCTTCAAAAGACCAAGGGACCTGATTGGCATGTGGAAGCTCCCAATTGAAACACATGCAAGAAATTCCTCTAACCGAAAGAAACCAAGTCAAGAAAAGCGAGTAAAGACTTAGGGTTCTGGAACGTGAAACCAAAGAACTCCTGTTGCCCCCATGAGCTCGTTCCAATTGATCCAGCTGTCTCCTCCGCTTGGGCCACGATTGCCGGACGCGACAGGAAGGATCACCAGCAATGACAGAAGCAACACTTGCTCATGTGTCGACCTCATTGAATCTGGAGATGCTACGAGAATTCCAAAGCCTGAAGCAAGGCAACTCCGAGTAAACACAGTGAGCTCGTTTTACCCCGTCATTGGCTCGCCAGAAGAAAGGTCCGCAGAGGATTGACTTTGGTCAAAACAATAGCTGGGACGCGTGCAGCCTAAACTTTAGCTCTCGAATCAGGGATGCATTGAAGTTCATTGATCTGCACGTTGGACCAGCGTTTCTGTCAAGGATCAAAGGCCTAGGGCCAAGCAGCAGGTCGATCCTGATGATATCCGCGAAGCGGTCCGCGGTGATGACATTGTGGGCGGTGCTCGCCCGGTCGCAGCCCTTCACTGCTCCATTGATGATGTTCCCCAGTGTAGCGATGAAGGTGGCCACCAAATACCTCCGCTCAAAAAGGCTCCGACATTTTCCTCGGGGAACCCCCAGATCACAATGAACCAACCCTGCACCAAGATTTCAGAAAGTTGAGAGTTGAAAGTTGAGAGTTGAGAGTTGAGACGTGAGAACCCCTGTTGGTTGGATTGAAAGGGACACTGAAAGGAAAACCACCATGTTTGCTTCTTCTTTTTTTGGGGGGGGAAGAAGTTTCCACTAAAAAGACACACCCACGATTCAAGATTCAATCCGAGTTTCCAAAACTTTTGTGGTCCCTGGTGTTTGTTCGCTGCTATGACCATTGGTGAATATCCATTCATGAGTCCCCGAGGTGGTGCACTGAGGTGGTCAGTTGCTCGCCGCCAAGTAAGCGACCCAGCATAGCTGAAGGATAAATGTTGGCCACATGAAACTAGGTAGAACCAGCCAATAGAATGGTCGTTGGGTCTTTTGGTATGAGTTGAACTGAATCAGGTTTGTTCCCCAAGTTGGCATGAACCAAACTTGGTGGTTGAAACAAAGGAACCGATTTTGTCAAAATCAGCTTCCAGATTGGCTCGTCGACCACAGAAACCCGTAATCCCTTCGGCCCCAAACCGACCATGCGTAGCTTTCCCATTTAGTGGTGAAACTCCTCTTTTTTCGGTGATTTCCCCAATGGTCATCCCATGTATGAGGGTCCTTTTGGTCAACCCCCATTTGTCGAACTTCCTGTATTTCAAAACATGAATAGAGTTAGGCCCAGTTGTAGAATGTATATCGTACTGTTTGCTTCACTTTGAGTCACTTGGTAAAATGTAAGATGTATCCTAAGTCTACCCCAGGGTGAGTAGTCCACTTTGCTGAGTATTGGCCACTTGGCTATGGGTCAAAACCCAAATCGTACCCCCATCCCAATCCCCACAAAAATAGACCGGGAAAAAAGCAACTTTCGCTGGCGACTCGGTGGTATCGGGGCCCGGAGGAAAATTTCTCGGCCAGGTCACACATCGATGGTGCACGCGGCGATGGGCACGGCCAGAGGATCTGCAACGATCGCCTGACCGCGGGGAAAACGGATGGAAGACACACGAGCCTCCCTCGAATTGGCCATGGGTCAAAATCCAAATCGTACCCCCAGTGAACATTCCGAATCACTGATATAGACTCAAATGGGTGATGAATTCACCTACCCCAAAATGGGATCCCATTGGTTTTGGCCCACAGCCAAATCCCCAACCGCCACCAATCCAAACCACCAACCAAGGGTTACCTGACACGCCGCGGATGCCCAAAACCATGCCCAGAAGAAGGTCCTTGGAGCGCTGGAATCATACCTCACGAATTGGGCTTTGACCAGACCTGCTTCTAGGGGTAACTTCCATTTCCATTCTTTCCAGGGATCCGGATCTTTCTAGAAAACAACAAAAAACCCTGGGGAAATGGCTGGTTTTTGAAACGAACGATGGCTGAAAAGAATGGGGAATCAACCCCTAGACTGCTACCTTGTCGCTCCCGAAGTCAGTATGCCCAAGCAGAGCCCTAAGGCTGCATCAGACCCTCAAACGGGCCCGTGCCAAAGCAGGGGCAACCCGAAAATGGTGGCGTTCCAAATGGTTTTCTTGAAACCAGGAATACAAGGGGCTGCCGTTTCAATTTCAAGGAGTGACGCGTCGCTCCCAAAATCCTCTAGAGGTGGCAAACACCGACCATGGAAATGACTGGCTTGAAGCGGCCTATGCCAAAGAGCCGTTTCAACCAAGTCTGCAACCACCCCGAAATGTGCGGCATTCCTAAAACACCTTCATGCATCGCTCGTTTTGCCCCCCTCTAAACTGTTCGGTGAGAATTCGAGCTCCAGCCTGCAGCTGCCGATGGAGAGCGTCAATCTGCAGTTCTTTGCTCCCTCAGCTCAGGAAAAAAGCCTGGTTCTGTTGATTGAGTTTAAAGGGAAACCCTCTCGAAGCTCTGTGGCCAGAGACAAAGGGAAAACTGGTTCTGTCGATTTGTCGATTGAGTTTCAAGGGAAACCCTCTCGACTGGCAAAAAAGCAAGAGTCATTGGGTTTCGAAACCAAGTCAAAAGTTGATATCAGCTTCCCCGCCCGGTGATTTAGTGGTGTTCCGGACTGTTTCCCATTTGCCCAAGAACCAGGGGCCTGTTCAAACCGAGCCCCAGTTCCCACCGGGCCCTCAAACACAAACTTGGGGTGACCTGCAAAGGTTGATCAATTTGCCAGCGGTTTCCATTCATCACCACTCCAAAATCCAACTTGAAAGGGACATGGCAACCGGAAACCCCCCAAAAAATGAGGGGGGGGGGGGGGGGGGCACGGCCACCGAACACGCTGCTAAGCTGGGCTTCTGTTCCGGCCCGTATCCACGTGCAGCACCTCCATCATGTCCTCCACGCCCATTTCGCGCGCCACCTGCGCGGCGCGGCCCCAAAATGGGGAGAACAACCAAGAAGAGGAGCGGAGGTCCAAAAAAAATAACCAACCGATGAAGCAAGGCTACCAAGGAATCGTCGAAAAGTGCCCATAGCTTGAGCGTTTGCTGTCCTAGGTTGAAAGTGCCAAAGGCTTCAAGGATCCCAACGATAGGCAAGAACGAAACGCATCTTCGAACCATTCCATGGCGTCAAAAGAGGGCAACTGCTTGTTGAGGGAGCCCTTGGTGAAATGGTCTTGAAAGGGAAAGTTGGGGGCAGAATCTGCTTGGGGTCCCCATTTTTGTTTGAGCCCAACCCTTTTTTCGCGAGGACCTCGCCTGGAGCGCTGGCTTGGACGTGGCAAGCGACGGCGGCATTTGCGGCTCCGACTGGGTGGGGGCAGCGGAGAGCCAACGGGCGGCGCCGAGGCAACAGGCCCCAAGCCTTGGATCGCGGCCGGAATTGTCGTTTTTTTTTCCCCAGGACTTGGAGCCCCCAATCTTGGCCCCCAAATGGCCCCCCTTGGGGCGTTCCGGGAGGTTTTTTTTGGAGCCCCCAAGTTTGGTGCTCCTGGTTGTTCCTCAAATGGCACCAAGGTGTTCTTGGGTTCTTCCTCAAATGGCACCAGGGTGTTCCTGTGTTTGCCTCTTGGCGGTCCTTTACAAGCACCAAAGAAGGGGCATTCACTCCCAAAAAAGGAGCCACACCCATCTGAGGCCATCTGAGGTCTGTCCAAATCGGAAAAGATACAGCCCGGAGCGCAAGGCTTGGAACCTCCAAAGAGGTATGTCTCTCTTTTTCGGTCATAGAAGCGCCAAGTGCGGATTGAAACATAAACCAAGCTCATGCGGACTATCAAAGAGCTTGGAAGACTACCGTCCTCTTGAAAAGGTCCGTCATCCACTGCCGTGATTTGTTGACGAAGAAACAACTGAAAAAATTAAAACCACCCCCTTGGCGGAAGAGGCCCCAACAAGACCGGTCAGGTGAATGTAGATGGGTCAATTCCCTTTTTGTCGGTAAGCAGGATGAAAAGAAACGCCAACACAAAATGGGAGACCTGTGTCTACTTCTGCGCAACTGGCTCTTCAAAGGGCCGTTCTGCACGGCCCAGAAAGAAAGCCGAGCCACGCCGCTGCCGAAATCGCCACCAGCCGCCAACGTGAGAAGGAAGGCGCCGTCGCCCTTGTGGTGCCTGAGGGGATGATTGTGGGTGTGTCTTCTTGTTGTGGGTACCCCTTGTTTTGGCTGGTTTGAACACCATGTTGGAGGGTTCCCTAAAAATTTGCGTATTTTGGAGGGTCCCCTAAAAATGTGGGGTGTGTGTGTGTGTGTTGCTCTCGGCTCGGTTGCGGCGCGATTGATTGTGCATGTGCCTGTGCATTTGCATGTGGGTGTGCGCTTGCGTTTGCATTTTCGGGGTGTGATTGCGCTTGTTTTTTGCGCTTGTAATTCTGCATGTGTGTGTGTGTGTTGTGTGTGTGCGTGCTGGTTGTTGGTGCGTGTCTGTGTGTGTGTGTGTCTAGTTTGTTGGGCAGGGTTGACGACCATCCCATCAGGCCCCAACAAGCAGTCTCTTTCGACCGTGGCACAAATTTCACGCCAGTCCTGACCACGAGTCCCTTCAACATTTCACCTTTACAGTAAGGGATCCAAAAAGGTGAGACAGTGCCCTTCAAAGGGAAACCAACATAACTTGGCCCACGGGGGCAAGCAGCAGCAAAGCAATATGCAGTTCAGATTCTGTTTCATATTTAGTCCATCGTAAAATATACAGCTGCTTTGAAGGAAGCCCAGATAAGGATGTTTAAACAGTTGCTTAAACACTTTCGGATGGGATGAAAAACAAACATCCAGCATTAAACTACAACCTTCAGATATAATTGTGGCATCAAATTCATGTCTCGAGTTTCATCAATGGCCTCAGGCACAGGGAAGCTCATGCAGGACAAAACAGTCGTTGTTCTCTGAACCCCATAAGTTTGCCTTTTGGTTGATATCCTAGGGCTTGGGATTTTCAAGGAAACCAAAGGGAAAGCGAAGCCAAGTGCAGATCCATCCATCGGCAACTCGTCTGAACGTGCCTACAAGCTGATCCACCTCCTCCATGACAGCGAGGGCTCACGCACGACTAGCTTTGAGCCGCAACTCACAAAACGCGCAGGTGTCTGTTCAGCACAAATTACTGAAGGTAACCTTAATCACCACTTAAAGGCCAAAGTTGGCAAATCCAAGTGGTGCACTAGAATTTGGGCAAACTAATAATGATAATAATAATGACAATGATAATGACAATGATAATGATAGTAATAGCAATAATAGTAATAATAATATTGATAATAATAATAATACTAGTAGTAACAATCGTGATAATAAGGATAATAATGACAATAATAATAATAGTTCATAGTATGGTTAATAATAATACACCAAAAGAAACTTATGTCCAAGTGTTGTCATATGCTGCCTACCCTCCATAGCAAGCCGACCGAAGCTCAGGACAAGCCTTGCAAGTGCTTGGGTGTCTGATGCTTCCCCTTTAAATACACCCGGGGATCAGGCTGTGTTTAAGGCTGCCCCTTTCACCTTCGTTCCAAAGGAACCAAAGGAGCAAAATCCGTTCGCGTCCCGATCCTCTGTGACACCAAAGCATCCAAGCAACATTACTTTGTCACTTGAAGGGGGATTCCACAAAGATATCATAATCGAGGATCAGCACCATCCAATTCTTGCTCCAGTTGCAACTGTCGATATCAGTAAGGTCAACCTCGGGGTACTGCCTGTGTAAGTCGGTGTTTCCCAAAATAGGGGTCTCTGCTTGGACGGTAAAGGGGAAAGCGCAAGAAAACCCATCGGAACTTCCCCTCAAGTTCCCTTTCTCGGACATGGCCTGCTCCTGTGGAACCCAAACGAGGCGGTCCCCAAAAGGAGATGCGTCAAATGATGGCTTCTCAAATCAATCTGCCGGGGAGGAATCCAAGGACCACACCCAGCCACAGTTCCCTTAGCGAACTAGGAAAAGCAGGCCTGAAATCGGTGCCCCACAACTTACCAATCAGGCCTGAAAGCAGAATGGCAGGTGATAAAACTGCTCAGATCCCCCGCTAAAAGTTTAACTTTTAGTGGGTTACATGAAAACTACCACTAAACACTAAAAGGCTAAAAAGCTAAGGGAATGGCGGGGAGCCACCAAGGTTTAACATGTGCTTGCTGAAAAACGACAGGGTCAAGTGGATGGGGGCCTAGAGCCAGGGACGGGATGATGCAGAGTTCCTCATAGTCCCCTTGACACATCGCCCTGCCAAAACCAAGCAGGTCAAAGTAGGCCCAAAAGCATCACGCCGAGAAACACTGATTCGGACCCCTATTCCTACAACCAAAGGAGAAACCCGCAACAGCCCCCGGAAAGGAAGCCTCCAAGAACCTGCCCCACTGCAGACCTTGTCACTGTTGGGATGGAAGCACCATCTAAGAAACAGGCCCCAAAGGTCCACTTACATTCGGCACGCGCACAACAAAAACAAGCAGCCCCGGTCCCCGGTCCGGCAAACATCCGAACCACTCAAGGAGCAGCCTATCTGGATCCCTAGACCCCCAAGCGTTCAGCTTGGAAACAAAATGACCACGAACCAAGCAAGCAGAGCTTGCGAGAACAAGAATCCCATAGCAAAAAGTCAGAGAAAAACAAAAAAACTGAAGCAAACCGCAAACCGATGAGCGAGCTGACTAACTAGGCTTCCCAGCTTCAGCACAAGCACCTTGTTGGACTCTTCCGGCTCGCAGGTCAAGAAGATCTGAGGAACGGCGCCGATGGATCCAAGTGAAAGCCAACGGAAGAAAACCGAGTCCGGTGGTGTGATTTGTTTATGAAATATGAAGGAAGAAAGGGATACCTTGTGGCGGCTGCTTATGGCCTGGATGTTTCGATTTCAAACCATGTACATGGGAAAACACGGATATCCAGTGTCAGCTGGCCTGAGCCACAATCAAACCCTGTTTGTGGGGAGCTGTTTTCCGAGTTTGAGGCCTGCAAATGACCTTCTGCGCTTTGCACCGGGGCAGTTCCTTCTTCAAAGCTTTCTTCTGGGGGGAGAGATCACCCGGCAAATCATCTCCTTTTGGGGAACCTCCTTATTTGGGTGAGGTATTGATTTGCAGGGCAGTATTCCAAAGGACCTCCTCTGGGAGAGCAGGGAAAGCAAAGAACCCTGTTGTCACCCCCGACCCAGTGAAAAACTCCATGGCCCAAAAAAAAGGCGGTTGGGGCCCTTGGGCCCTGGTGGCAGCCCGGAAACAAGCTTGTGCAATCCCAAGGTGCCACTGAAATGGGAGGATTCACCCTGTCAAAGCTTTGCGGGACCCGTTTCCGGGTGCCGATACGGCGAAGGCATAGGCAAGCCATGGGTTTACCCGATCTCCGATCTGCCTGCCGCTGAATAAGAAGCTGCAAAACTGAGTGTGCCAGCCAACCACAGCTACTTTCTCAGACACGAGGGTTTGTTTGGGACAAGGAGTTGGCAATAACGCACCGATATTCTAGGGGTAACTTCCCCATTCTTTCCAGGGATCCTTCTTTCTACAAAAACACAAAAACAAACTGGGGAAATGGCCTAGTTTTTTGCAAAGAACGATGACTGAAAAGAATGGGAAAGGCATCAACCCCTAGAATGACTCTGGCTGGACCCTCAAAAATGGGTGATTGCCCCCAAAAATTGGGAAGTCAGCCCCAAGAGATATCAAGAAACGGGACCAAAGAAGCTCCTCATTCTCCGACTCCCGCGCCTCCCGGGAGCGCCAGACCGGATATGCACGCTCGCTGGTCGTCAGGCGAACTGCCTGCGTGCTTCGGCACATGTGCCAATAAACCCACAGAATCTGTGTGTGTGTGTGCCTGTTTGTGTGCGTTTCATTTTGGGGTGATCGTTCGTTGAGTTCTAGGGGACAAACCATCAGAACCCCAGGGGAAATGGCCGGTTTTTAAAAAGAACAATGGTTGAAAAGAATGGGGGCAATCAACCCCTGGAATTGTCATAAACCCATCGAATCTCCGTGTGCGTGTGTGTGTGTGTGTGTGTGTTTCAATCTAGGGTGCTCGTTCGTTGACTTTAAGTCGAATTCGCCAGGGTGACGGAAACAGTCCGAGCTCAATGTTGCTGTTGGCACCCAATGAACAAACCCCCCGTTTCAGGACGCCACCCGGAGGATTGCCCAAAGAGGTACGGCTGCCCCAAGCACTGCATGCAAGGGAAACAAGGGGGTGGCAGGAATGTAATTGGGGGGCCTCTTCTGTTTTTTCTCCGAAATAAAGGGAAGAGCAGGGAAAAGAGAGGATCTCCACTGATGCTACCCTCCCCCCCCGTTTTTCAGCATCTGGTTGGTTGGTCGCCAAGGTGGGTCATTCCTCCGCTGCCAGGATGGCTCACAGCCCCTGTGCAGATGTCGCACCCTCCTTTGTGGCAAATGACATGGGCGTCGCATGCCTGGCAGAATTTGGAGCCAGAAATTGCTTGACTGTCAAAACATTACATACGATGGTGACGAAATCCATTTCGCAGCACCAAAGAAACGCTGGAATGATGATTCCCCCTGCAAATACCAACAAACAATGGCTTCGACCATGGTTTCTTAGGTGCTGCGAACGGATCTGTTTATGCGCAGCATCGCAAGTCCCAAGTTTCTAGGTTAGAGACTTCTTGGGCCCAAAATGTCCAGGCCGGAAGTTGCAGAATCCCGGTGCGCAGTTTCCGGCTTCGCAGAAAACATCCCCTCAGTTTGGGCAAGGGCCGAAAGTGGAGAAACAGCTAGCAAAGGACACTCTAGACGTGTTTTTGGGTGGTAAAGGGAAACCCTAAGGGAAGCCACAGGGGTCTAAAGAATGACAGACTCACCTTGCAGGCCCAAAACGTGGTCATACGTCATAGCATCTTGTGGGCAGTTCGATGTTCCGCTGGCAAGCCGCCAGTACCTGCTCCAACGGCAGCACCACCTGGACTCTATGAACAAGACATAGCATCAAAGCCATTCTCAGAGCACATGACCATGCAACATCCGACAAGGACCTGAGCAAGATCCTCGGATCCAGCTTCCTGAGGTCGGGAAACTCCGACCCTACAACCATCCACTCGCCCACCCACCCCCACCCAAAGCAAAGAACCCGAAAGATGCGCGGCTTCTCCCGATTTCCCAACGTGTCTCCAACCCTTGGAACGTGTTGATTCGCAAAGGATACTTCAATCGAGCCACTTGACAGTTCGAACCTCCCTTCAAGAGGCCTGAGAAAATGTTTTGGGGCTGTTTTGGTCGGAAGTCTTTGGGCGAAGCGAACCCCCCCCCTCTGTAAAACACAGATCTGCCGCTCCTGCTCGGGGTTCCAAGCGCCCAGGCCCTCCGGAGAGCCCACCACGTGGAGGTGCCTCGGTTTGGGAATCACTTCAGAGGGCCACCAAAGACCCGGGGGAAAAACCCACCATGTCCCGTCTTTTTTGAGTCGTCTCTTGTGTTGTTTGTGTCTTCTGTGCTTTTTTTGTTGAGTCTGTGTTTTCAGTTGAGTTGTTTGGCCTTACAAGGGAAGGTCACAAGGCTATGGAAGTTGTTGCTCGCGGCCACTGAGGTTTTCAAGTTGGTTGTCTACCGTGGCGCGTGGCGAAGAGGGAAGGGGTTAACCAATTCATTCACCTCCCGTCCATGGTTCTCATGGCCTGAGAGATACCCTTCCCAGCTCCAGCTCACAGCCACATGTACCATGGTCAAAACTCCCAAAAGATCATGGTCATGGTTCCCGCAGTAGCTTACACTGTTGGTCTCAATTCCCTCAGGAGCTCGTAAACATCCCTCCCCGAAAGGTCTTTTGACCATTGGCACACCGAGCCATCCTCCAAGTCATCAAACACCGGCCCCCGAGTCGACTTATGGGGCTGCAACTCCCCCAGTGAAACATCGGGCCTATTCATCCTAGGTGCCCATACCCCTTTTGCGGAAACCGAAACAGACGCTGGGAAGACTAGAATAGTCCGCATATGCTTGGGGGAGTGAAATAGTTGGGGTGTGTTGAAAAAAGATCTTGTTATGTTGACTAAACAGGGATGTAGCTATGAGGGAGACCTGTGTTG